TGTCCCATGCTGGCTTGGGAATTCTGGGAGTTGAAGTCCACACGGCTTATAGTTGCCAAGGTTGAGAAGCACTGGAATAGAGAATGGGTTAAGACTCCACCATCACCCTTAGATAGATAGATAGATAGATAGATAGATAGATAGATAGATAGATAGATAGATAGATAGATTTGCAGCTGCTACTTTTTAGAAAAAAATCTGAAGTTACTGAGAATGCTTGCAAAACCAGAGAGCCACCCTCTCCAAATTCCTGATGCCCCTGTGTCAAAGAGAGGCCCTGGTGGAGTTTTTCTTCATCACGGACAACTTCTATTTATTGCTAGTTTTCCTGATTTTGTACCTCTGCATTCTCCAGCTGCAAATGGAAATTGAGTCAGGAACCAGGATGTAAACTTCAATACAAGTCAGAGCAAGATCAAAGAGGTCTTTATCCTCCTTCATTAAAGAGGGAGGTGTGTGCATGTGGCCTCTTCACTTACTAACATCCCCAATCTTGATGTATCTTCTTTTGGCAGAAAGAAGACAAGGAAAAGAAATAAGATTGTTAAAGGTTAGGATCTGCGTGACTCTGCACAGCACCTAAGAATCCAGAGCAGTGTTTCTCAACCTCATTGACTTTAAGATGTGTGGACTTCAACTCCCAGAATTCCCCCAGCCAATGCTGGCTGGGGGAATTCTGGGAGTTGAAGTCCACACATCTTAAAGTCAATGAGGTTGAGAAACACTGATCCAGAGCATTAAGAAACATTGCAAACAGGATTTGATAGAACAGGAATGCAGAGTTTACGGTTAGAATAGAATTGAGCAGCCAGCATTCCTTGAGTTGCATGTCCCCTTTTTGTGACTCGTTAAAGCCCATCTTGCCTGCATGGCTGGCTTGTGGTTGTTGCCATTTTGAGGTAGCAAATATAGGGAAGCTGTGGCTCAAATCTACAAATATAGTTTTAATAGAGTTTAAAACCAGAATACAAATGGAACAATAGTATATGTGGGAGAATCCCATTTCTGCTCTTGTGAATGATGTGGCCATCCCCACTTTTCATTATTCTCCTGATGACTGTGGCCTTTGCTCTTCTCTTCCCCAAAACAATCCATTGGGGCCCTCTCCATTGCCCAGCCATCCCTTAGCTACACTATCTGTTCTCTTAATTTGAAAGTAACAAGAATTACTGAATAAATATGGCTAGAAGCAGATAAATGGTTGCAGTGACCATTGCTAATCCAAGGGCTTGGTTCTGTCTTTTTAGCATTTAACCATGTTTCAGAATGGAGGGTTTCGGAGATGGACCTTGGTGCTGCAACTGTACCTCCTACTTCTCACTTCTTGGGCACGGGCTGGCGCAGAAGCCTTGACGCAGCCTCCCATCACGGCAGCCTCCTTTCTGCAGGATCTTTTCCTCCGCTATGGTGAAGATGACAGGCTCACTTTGCAGCAGCTGAAATCCCTGTTGAAACGCCTGGATGTGGGAGTTGAACGGCCCAATATCAGTCGCACGCAGCAGCAACAGCACAGGAACCTCTCCTGGGTAACCACCTCTACTTTCCCATTATTACTCCATCCTCCTTTTGATTCAGAGAGGTCTACAAAAGTTCTTACCCCCAAAATTATTACATTTTAATGTAATCTGTCCAGAGAACCTTTGTTCAAGTGCAGATTAACATTTAATACGGTGCTTACAGTGCTTGAATAAGAACTTAAGCTATAGAAGAAAGCTAACAGAACAAGTTGAGCCATTCTGGTGAGCACATCCTATAGCTTTGTGCCAGTGGGAAATGTGCATGTTGTGCCACTGCGAGTCTAGCAGCTGATGGAAGAAGAACATAGAAGAGCAGGTATGTTCGTATTAGAAAAGATGGTCTGCAAAATATCCAGGTCTAAATAGTTAAAAGTCAAAACTGGCTTCTTACATGTTATTGTTCTGATGTTGCTCTTGAACTATTCCTTCAGCTCCCAAGGCAGCATACAAAAGTCAAATACAAACAAACCAGACCCTGCCCATAAGACTATAGTCTGAAAGCAATGGTGTCCACAGAGGGTGGATTTACTCAGTCAGTCTGCTGATAGTTGTGTCACACCCCAAGCCCCACATTGTCATGAAGCAAGCCCTGCCCCTCTTCTGCATGAGTTGTGATGCTGCACGCAGGTCCCAAAGTGACAGAACCAATAGCTTCCATCAAAAGAACAAAAGCAGTCAGAGCTTGTCTAAAAGGCATTGTATGTAAAAGAAAGAAATAGGACACAAATGGGGAGCTAATATTAGCTCAACCCTTAAAGGTATAGTTTCTTATAACAGCCAGCTTGAATGGAAACAGTTCACAGAGCCAGAGTTTTTCTCTTTCCTCCACTTGCCTGATAGAATGAACCTTGAGTGGGTTCAAAATTGGATGAGTTATACTCCATACTTTTTGGTCTGTTGGGGGCTTCCCTTTAAAAAGTAACCAGGAGCTGTACTTGAATATATGCAGGACAGTCTTTGGAAAAAGGAAGGTGTGTGTGGTGAAAGGCTGCGTGAATTTGCAGAATATCAAAAACTGGATTTTTTGTTAGGAATTGCTTCTTGATGCCTGAGAGGGAGGGAGAAGATGCTGTTGCTGAGAAGTTAAGGAAAGGAGATTGGAGACAGTGCATCATTTGTGGGTCTGAAGAAGCGGAAGACCCACCATGGAATTCTCAACCTTTTTGCCTTTGTTTGTAGTGCTTCAGTTCTTCGGAACTCTTTGCCACACACAATCTGAGTGAATGGTCCCATCTTGGTCGGAGCGAGTTCCAAGAATTCTGCCCAACTATCTTGCAGCAGCTGGAGTCAAAGGCGTGCATGTCGGAGAATTTGGAGAATGAGGAAGATGAATGGATGAAGGAGGGGAAACCAAGCTCTACAGAAGGTGCGCGCATTCGACCCAGCCAGCCAGCCACATTAGCGCCTTAATGGTTTTTAAGTTGTAATCTTCCTTTTTCAACTTTTCAACATTTTGAGTGAGGAACTGGTATCCATCTGGATTGTGACGTACTATTTCTAATCGGTTTTCCTTTTCCAGCTGCAGCTATGCTATAAGGCCTTGTAGTACAGTGTTTACAAGAAATTGAGGCTAAAAGTGGAAGAGCACAACTTTATTTTATTTTAATTTTTAAAATGTGTATGCTACTCTTCAAAACTGGTGTTTCAGGAAGCTTCTGAGCCTGCTGCAAAGATGGCTTTTCAGCTATTTAATTTCAAGTACAGTATCTGCTTCTAGCTACACCATTGCCAGAATGTTATGCAGAAGCTGAATATCAGATGAGAATACATAACAATTTCTTATGCTCATTAGAGGAGATGTAGAAAGACTTTAAACAGTGCCTTTTGGAGCCTAAGAAATCATTACATCAAAGCAAAGGGGAAAAAGCAGTGTTAGTGGGGGAATGAAGCAATATAAGTATAGTCTTGGAAATCTGTTCTTGAACTGGACTACTGATGTATGCATGTGTACATAAAATGGGTGTGATACAGATATATCTGGATGCCTTGAGTCAGTGTTGACTCCTGGTGACTACCTGGACTAGTCCCTGCAGTTTTCTTGGCAAGATTTCAAAAGTGGTTTGCCATTGCCTTCTTCCTAGGGCAGAGAGGGTTGACTGGCCCAAGCTTACCCAGTTGGCTTCATGCCTATGGCAGGACTAGAACTCACAGTCTCCTGGTTTCTAGCGTGGTGCCTTAACCACTATACCTAACCGGCTTGCACGTGCTCTCTCTCACTCTGTGTGTATGTGTGCGTGTGAATCACATGCTTTTTTAGTCTAATAACCTACAAATGCATGGCATTTTCAGAATTGTCCTTGTTTCATGTTATAGGTGATGTGGATGAATCTCCTATTTCATCCTATTTCTCCTCTTCTTATCTCTCTCATTTTGTATACATGCCCTGAGTTTGTAGGCTATTATTCTGAATCTCGTGCAAAGAAAAAAGCTTGAAGCTAATAGAATGGGAAGCCCTGAGTATTCTGGTAGAAATAATTATATACAACATTAGCGATATAGAGAAAGTCTTTCTCAAGCTTACGTCTAAAACATATCCTTGCCTAGGAAAAGACAGTTAATCCATGAAAAAGAAAAAAAAATGAATATGTTTTAACTTTGTCCTGGCTGTTTTGAATTTAGAAGTTGGTTGATCTGTATGGATAGGTGAAAAGGTATATTTGAATAGATTGGCATTTTTACAGGAGAAAATTGGAATTGTTTTGATTTATTTGAAAAGAAGAACAGCCCCTCAGCTGCTGTCAGGGTGTTCAGTTTGTTTTGTTTTCCTACTTGCTATCATTCACAGAAGATTGGTTAATGAACACAAGGGAGCTCATTCCAGTTTTTTTTTTTTATTGCTTTTCAACTTGCCTTTGGTCAGATAATTAATTATTGTAACCACTGGGTGAGAGGTAAGCTGTCATAATATGAATATGAATAAGTGATATGATGGTGTTCAGTTTCTGTATATATAAATGTACAGAGACATTTTAAAATGGTTACAGCTGTCATTTTAAATGCAGTTATGGACACACATGAAAATTGAATTTGTATTCCCTTATGAATCCAATTAGTCTTGATAATACTTTTGTCAAGATTGGCTATCAATTTTATAACTATTTTTTTTAAAGTACTTTAAAGAAATTGCAACTGCTTTCCTTGAAAGGGAATAAAATGAAGAAATATCCATCTGACATACAGGAAAGTAGATTGAGTCACTGTAGGCCTCATTATTATAGGTATGTCAGTGATTCTCTAAACGGTTGGAGGAAATGTTTCATCAGCCTAGCACCAGAAACCCGTGTTGGTTAGTTGTTGAGAGTTGGATGGGATACAATTATTATTATTATTATTTTGCGCTGCTTCATGCAAAGAATATAGTATTAGAATCTCAGGGTTGGGTTATTAATGCTAGGCTACTATTAGAAGGAAAGATTAGGATATCTGGGGCACTGGGACAGGGACACACTACAAGGAAGCAACATCTCCTTCTAAGCTGCCTTCTAAAATTCCAGTTGAGATGAACAATGAGGCCACTGGAGCCTTTCACAGATTGAGCATGTATCAGTGTGGGAGATCTTGGTTGATAGCAAAAAGAAAGCAGTACCTACCCTCAGTTCTTATCCATTCACTCAATTCCATGCTCACATTCAGTGTCTGGATTTACGCAGCTCACTAAGCTTGAAGCCCAATTAACCAAGCCCAGGGGTTACATTCATATAATATGCTATACCCAACAAAATGAACCCTATAATGGTTTATTGTGCTGTCCTGGTTCATGCAGTATGCCAAGACAGTGGCTGGATTGCTAAACCACAGCAAACCCAATCCTATTTTAATGTAGTCTAGGATGTTGAGTGTGTGTTTCAGTTTTACTATTGTCCCTTTTCACAAAAAAGGAAAGCACAAATAAACACTAGATCTACTGTATTGCAAACATTTGAGGCATAACAGAATGGGGTTATCCTGTAGTTACTTTTTAAAACTTTCTGTCAAACTAGAACATGGATAAGCACCCAATTTTGGCCACTCTTTCCTTCCTGCTTGATAGCCATGTAATATGTAAAGCAATTTGACATCTTTTGAGCGGATAGGATCAGAATTGTGAGACCTTTTTTGTGTTATTTGTGGGTGTATTCATTTTGCCCCTTCCCTCCTGCAAAAAACATGGTGCCCATTTTGGCCCCTTAAATTCCAATTTTTCTAAGGGGAATTCAGGGTTTTAATGGGTGTTGTAGGTTTCTTACGCCCTTACAGGCTTAAGCCACACATTTAGTCCCTTCAACCCCCCAAATATAAAAAAACAACAACAAAAGGATGTCCAAAAATGTTGACCTCCATCCATTCTGGTGGATTTGGGGGTCTGTAAGTGGAATGCTAAGAAGCTATGTGCAAGATCTGAGCCTGATTCATATCTTCCAGAGATGTCTTTAAGCAGAACAGTTAGGTCCATAGTTAACAACACAGTTTTGACATCTTTTATCTAAGTTGCCCTTTAAAAAATAATTAACACAAATCACTCTTTGCTGGTCAGGGTACCATGACAGGCTTGTTTTGGCTATAAGCCGAACAATCCAAGCCAGACTTTTACTGACTGACTTAACTTGGATGACAGTGTGGTGTACTCTTTTAGTCTTTCAAAATATACGTTCAACTTTTCCATAAGAACTTTGTTTTTCAACATATCAAGTTCTAGCCTTTTCAAGTTACATGTAAACTCCCCTGCCTTTGTCTGATCTTTTGATATTGTTCACGTACTAGGCTTGAGTATAAGATAGAACAGCTTCTTCCACTCCCTAGAAAAATTAGAGGAATAACTCATTAGCCAACTCATCTGACTAGTTGTCCATCATAAGCTTCCAAGTAAACTTGCAAAGAATCTTTGTGGGATTACCTGAAACCTTTCCAACTTCCCCTGTGTTTAAGGGGCCATTCCCAGTTTTCAATTAGTTGGGTAAACTTGCCCTTCTTTCTTCTTGTTTACAGTGTGGGGTTTTGGTTTTCTCAGTGTTACACTGATTAACCTTGCCTCCCTCCTTGGAGTCTTCATCGTGCCCTGCACTGAGAAGGTCTTTTTCACCCGAATCCTAACTTATTTCATCGCGCTATCCATCGGGACGCTGTTCTCTAACGCCCTGTTCCAGCTGATCCCAGAGGTGCAGTAAGACAAACCCACATACTCACAGATTCCCATCACAGTCACTCCACCAAGTTTTCTGGTACCTGATAGGCTGCTGACTTCTCAGTGGCTTTTGAAATTGGATTTTTCATCTTTTTTGCACAGGGAGGCTTCCTAAAAATAAGAGAGAAATAAAGGTTCTACTTCATGTTGATTGTCCAGGCCTGTGTATGATTTCTTTGCCTGCACATTAGACATGTTGGCCACTTTGCAGAACAAAAATCTAGAAGGTAATAATCAGATCCCCTCAATGGTAGATGCTTAGCCCTTTGTTCCAGAAAAACTGTGTGATTTTTCATAGTGCATGGTATGGGTGTGGAAGGTTCTTGAAGGATTCTGCCTCTTAACAAGCTTTGTACTATAAATGGAAGCTAGCTTGGTTGTATTTCCAGTGAGCGTTGTTATAAAAAGAGGCACATTAATTTGACTCTAAATGTGGTGAGGTTTTCTAGCACTAAAGTGTCTCTGTTGGCCTGTTAAACAGCGTAGGTGGGGAACAGCTGTGGCAGAGAGCAACAGAGGATATTTTTGCAAAGGGAAGGAATGAACACCATATTGTCACCAGTATATGGAAGGAGGTTTTTTTGTCTTGATTTCTCAGGTTTCTTTCTTGGTTCCTCTTTCAGTAATCGGTTTATTTTCACAAGGTTTCTTGGGACTGTATGAGATCTAATCTTTAGTAATTCTAAGTTTTCAGTTGTACGTTTTGGGACTGCTTAAATATAGCCATGAACTCTAGTTGCAGGTTTTAAAGTCATAACTCTCTGTCACTGCCTTTCTGTCTTCTGGCATAGTATTTGGCTCAACTTTGGTGGCATAGATATGCAAGTTTCTCAGACAAAGGTGAGAACCAAAATGAGGTTTCACTTTGCCTTTTATGTGAAAGAAGGACCTTTTGAAGCCAGACTATTTTTATAATCTCTCTGTCTTAATCAACTCACTAACTGGCTTCTCTCATTAGGAAAAAAAAATAACCAAAGTAGCAAAAAGAAATTAGTACCATTCCTTTGGAATCCTTTTAACTTTCATTTTATATGGCTAATTCCAGACTATCCTAGCATTGTTCAGTGTAATCCTTTTTTCTTGGAGTTCATGGATATTTCAGTTCCCAAACCGTAAACTTCATGAGGGGGTATGTTTTGTTGCTTGAAAACCAAAAATGTCTTTGTGATCCAACAGGAACAGAAATAATTGTAAATGCATCATCTCCATTGTTAAATTGTCCTGTAAAAACTAGTGAAATAAGATGGGGCCAATCTGTTGTTAAGAATCTTCGTACCTTGGACAACAAATTCTTCAGTTCTGGGCTTGCCATGTAATAGAGAAGCATACACACAGGCAAGGAATGGCTTGTGTTTGGCCTGTATCACTCTAGGGCTCTGGCACTTTGTCCCCTTGATGAGTCTGTGTGCTGAAGGGGGGGGGGAATGTCCTTTCAGTGGGATTGAGATCACTTGGCAATCTGCAGGGCTGGAGATACACAGCTTCAGCAACAATCTCAACACTGTAAATTGGTCTCATGGTCAGGCCATTGCCATAAAATTAGCAAGACTTCCAATTTGGTGCAGATGTATTGGATTAATACTAGAGACCCTTATAGTGGGGTTAAATTTATGTATCCACATTGCCTGCAGAGGGCCTCTTCCCCACCCCACCCCCCTTGTGTTCCATGTTGGACTTACCATCAACAGGGACGGTTGCATAGTGCTATAGTGCTCCAGGGTGCTTCAGGCATGCCTGAATCCATCTTGACTTGCATATCAATCATTAATTAATATCTTATCTCTCTTTTTCTCTCTCTCTCCTTTTCCTCCCTTGGTGTGAATTCATTTTTGTACGTTCTGATTTTTTTCCTCCTGTGTTTTCCTCCCTCCTATGATTTCACCGGGGTGGGTTGACACTCACACTCCAGTCTGGGGATACGGTTTCCTCTGTGTGACCGTCATTTCCCTCTGCTCCTTGGTCGGGGCCAGTGTGGTGCCCTTCATGAAGAAGACCTTTTACAAGCGGCTGCTCCTCTACTTCATAGCTCTGGCGATTGGTACTCTTTATTCTAACGCCCTCTTCCAGCTCATTCCTGAGGTAGGACAAGGGCCCCCAGGCCTGAGTTATGTAATTATCTGTGCTTGTGTGGCATCTGCAGTGTGACCTAGTTTGTTGTAACACTGAATTACTTTCAGGAAAAGTGATACAGAAACAGCAGGCTCCCTTCATTTGAACTGGGTGTAGAGATATCTAAACCATCCAACTGATATTGGGTTGTGGAGCTGTTAGCACAAGGAAACAATGGTCCATTAATTTGGGCTTTGCCTTTTGGGAAGGGATTTTTTAATGTGAGATTAAAGTAACTCATTCCTGAATCTGGCATCCTGAGAACAAGGGTCAATCGACAGAAAAGCAGCTGTTGGTTGTGCCAGTTTAAGCAAAAGCATGATTAATCTAATTTCCTGTGTCATGTTCTGGCAGCAAATACGTTGACCATAGTAATATCCCATGCAATGTTTGGGTTAGGGGAAGACTAATAATCAGTGGGAAAATTATCCCCATGTACTACAGCAGACTTTTCTGTGGAGAGAGGCCTGGGGCATAAAAGGTATTGGGCTTCCCCATCCTGCTTTTGTGATGAGGATTTCTTCAGCACAGAGTACCAGGTAGTTTCAAATTTTTAAGCCATACCTGTATTCATGAAGAGAATGTGCAAGGCCCATAGCATATCTGATCTAAAATGAAATAGCAGCATCTCTTTCACACGCTAATGGTGTGTATGACACGTCAACTGGCTGACATGGATCTGAAAAATCCAATGATGTTTTGTTGCTCTAAAAGCAAGCTAAGGAACCAAAGAGAATCTTCTTTGGTACATCCATGTCTACTATTTGATATAGTCCCATGTTTTACTCAAATTTTAACTGTGTAACTTCAGTTTGCAAATGGAACTCACCAGCTAAATTATTGTATTTATTGGGTTTTATGCTTATTTTACCTCCTATAATGCCAGGGTGTTAGAAAAGTTCAAGTCTAGCTTTCTCTTGAACATGGTCTCCATGTAGAAGGACTGTATTCCTATGGAAGAGTGCTCAACTGTATTGCTGAACAAATTTTGGAAGTCTGTACAAGGCAATGCATAATTAAAAACAAGTTTAAAATGCAACCATCATCAGCAGAAACTTCACATTAAAATCAGAGATTGCTAAACATTCATTTGTTATGAAAACTTAGTTGCTTAGCCATATGAGCTGACATCTGATGTGCGATGACTCAGAGACAGGCTTACCTCTATAATAATACAAATTTGTTGCCACTCATGGTCCGGAAATGCATCTCTAGGGCAACTTCTCAAGCTGTGGAACTTTTTAGATCTTCTCTGGCCTTCCCCTACAGATGATGAGAAAAGAAGACAGAACTTTAGGAAGGAGGGTAATATTTATTTACTTATACTTTTGATAGCCAACCCTTTTTCTCCCCATCTCCTCCAGGCCTTTGGGTTCAATCCACAGAAGGATGACTATGTCTCCAAATCTGCTGTTGTCTTTGGGGGATTTTATCTGTTTTTTTTCACTGAGAAAATACTGAAGATGCTCCTCAAACAAAAGGACAAGGTGAGGAAGGGTGAGGGTCATTTCCCCTTAGTTACTTGAGCCTGAACCATTCCTGATGCAATCCTTAGTTCCTTTCCTTTTGGCACATAGTTGTATTTTTGTGAGCATCAGATATAATTGTGTGATAAGGAACTAAAGATTTGCCAATTTCTTTCCAAATATATTAGGAGTAGAGATTCTGCCGGGTAATGAAAGATGGTTTGCAAACTTTTTTTTTATTTGTCTGATAAGGCGTCCGGGTGAGGGATCTCTGCTTGTTACAGAGTATTCTGGGATGTTTGTGTAGGACAACAGCCAGCCTTCTTTTGGCCTCGCAGCTACAGCATTATCCTAGAACAGGTTCCACCCTTTCCCTTGACTACATGTTTCAGGATGTAGTGCAGTATTTCTCAACCACCTCAACTTTAAGACGGATGGACTTTAAGTCCCAGAATTCCTCAGCCAGTTGAGGAGGTTGAGAAACACTGATCTAGTGTGTAGTCAGCTGTTTTCAGGGAAGCTATCTGCCCTTATTTTCTGAGGAAGTTGTGATAAACATTTGAGGAAACCATCTACCATTCTTTTCCATGGAAGTGTTTGTAACTATATTTTTGTTACATCCTCAGAAATTTTTTTCTGAAAATTTAATCCATGAGCTTAATACCAACTACAACAGAAAATATAGTAAAAAATAGAATGGTATAATCCATGTGGAAATAATCAGTTTCCTTTCCAGTTCCTTCCATATCCTTCATGTACAATGTCAGAGAATGGGGTTTAGTAGTAACAGCCCCATGTGGATGGCTGGATGTGATATATTTTGTGCAGAGTATGAAATAGGACTTGCCTGCTTTTTGAATGTCTAGTTTCTCCCCTTTTCAGCTGTTCAACACTGATTATAGCTGCAAACCAAATGAAGAATACATCAGACTTAAAGCAGCTGAGCAAACCATGGGATAGATAATGGAAGGAACAGTCAGTAAAGACTGTACAAAGAAAAATCATATCTGAATTGTTGCATGTTCCAATATACACATAGGTGGAAGTGCTAAATATAATTGTGTACAAGCACATGGATTTTCAGAAAGAAGTCTTTGAAAAAGATTCCTTTAAAAGTAATTAGGGCACTAAACAATATGACCTTTTGTGGATCATCAGGCATTGATCATTATAGCCTAGAAATGTTGCAGAACATCTGCAGTAGAGCAGTTGTGAACTGAGATATAAGAAAATATGGCAATAGTTGTGAAGCTAAAAAAACCTATAGTAATGGAAAAATTATAAAAATGGGTAGTATACAATGCCCCTTAGTGAACAGCAAGCTGCTTTTATGTGGGTGAAACCCACCCCATAGACCTTGTAAATGAAGGATATGGGACTGAGACTGCTTGGTCATGTTGCTGGAAGGCAAGAACTTAGTGAGAAGAGGTCTTTGGATCTCCTGGTGATTTTTGAAACCATCAGCTATGGTATCCTCTTGGACTCCTTGGATGGGGACTCAGTATTGCAGTAATTCCGATTCATCCTGTTGGATCATATCTAGAGAGAAGATGCTCAAGGAGCTGCTGTACCATACCAAGATTTTTAACCTACAGTATCATATATAGTTTTCTCCTGTTTCTTATTTTTTAATATCTACAGTATGTGAATCTTCTGAGAGACATCATCATCAGCATGGTGATAACACTCAGCTCTATCATTTGCTAGGACTTAAGTCAAAAACTTTCAGTAAAGCTTAGGTGTAATAATGAACTAGGTGGAGATGAACATACTGGTAGTCCTTGACGTATGACCACAATTGGGGCCAGAACTTCCATCACTAAATGATGCAATCATTAAGTGAGTCACATCCAATTTTTACAACCTTTTTTGTCACGGTTGTTAAGTGAATCCGGCTTCCCCCATTAACTTTGCTTGTTGAAAGCCCCCTGCAAAGGTTGCAAATGGCGCTCATGTGACCCTGGGATGCTGCAACCGTCATAAATGTATGCTGGTTGCCAAGTGTCAAATTTTAATCACGTGACCCTGAGGATGCTGCGATGGTTGTAAGTGCGAGGACCGGTCATAAATAACTTTTTTCAGTGCCATCGTAACTTCAAATGGTTGTTAAACAAATGGTTGTAAGTCGAGGACTACCTGTACTGGGGTTTAATGCAGATTAGAGGACAGTATTAGTAGAATGCTGGTCTCAAGGTTTGGGGTTCATTATATTTTAGAAAGGAATCTACTCACTCTAAGAGATTAGAGCTTAGCTTAGAAGTGCTTCTTGATCTCCACTGGAATCTCATGTTGTCGTTGGCAAGTTGTGGCAATTGCAGCATTCCTCAGTCATTCTAATCTGACCAAAGTTCTCTTGATTGCATCACATTTCAGTTACTGCAGTGTGTCCATGTAGAACTATTTGGAAGCATTAGTTGGTATCTGGCAGTTAATTTGTCATGATACAGGGTCATGATGGTGTCCTGATACAGTATTAAAAGATCAGCACTTGTTTTCTAGATGCAACTCAAAGTGCTGGTCCATGTTAAGAACTCTAAATAGCTTAGAATCCAGTTATCTGAGAGAGTGGCAGTCTTGCATGGTTCTTTAGATCTGCATGTGAGCCTTCCAACTTAACAGCTCCTCTTTTCAGACAGTGAGAAAAGATTTTCCTGTGCCTCATGCTTAGACTATGAAATGCACTCTCTTTGGAGGGCAATTGCCCCACCTTCTGGTTTCTAAAATGTTTCTAGACATATTGTTTAAATATAGATTTTCCAAGTGTTTGAGTGGTCCCTCATATTGTTTTCAGTAGATATTACAGTGTTTTAATTTTACTGATATAATCATTAGGTTTATATAGATGGGGGGGGACAAAAGTATACTAAATAAAATACATAGATCTGGTTGTGGTTGCATTGTATGTACTTTTTTGAATGATTACATGCTGAAATTGTCTCTCCATTCCTAGCACCTTCATGGGCACAGCCATTATAGCAGTGAGTCCCTTCCTTCCAAGAAGGACCAGGAGGAAGGTGTCACTGAAAAACTGCAGAATGGAGACCTGGATCACATGATCCCTAATAAGAGCAGCGATTTGGAATGCAAGAATCCCTCTGCTGATGAGAAGGTTGTTGGCTCCTTGTCTGTTCAGGTCAGTGAATAATTACACTGGGGGTACCCAACCTTTGGGGGCCTTTTGGGACCAATGAGCTCTTCTCTCTCTCCCCCATTCTCAGAGGCTCTAGATGGCTGACAATGTTAGCATAAAATAAATACTAACCCCCAAACCCTATGTACATATAAAAATATGGAGTCCTTGGTGCTCTCTGAGCTTAGTTGTTTGCTTGCAGACATTTCGTTACCCAACTAGATAACATCATCAGTGCAAGTGAGTGTGAGGTTTGCTCTCGGTTTATATACAGTAGGTTGCCCTGCCAGTGTTGGTGGGGTGTGGTTTTCTCCTTGGTAGTTCCTTGATTAGGGTATTGTTTTCTGCTTGTTTGTTTTTTTTTTGTTTTTTTTTCCTTTTTTTTGTGGTTTGTTTTTGGGGGGGGGCTGGTGTTT